AGATAAAGCCCCGAAGACCCTTGAATATCTGTTCATCCTCGTTCACCAAGATCAAGCCTAACGGCCCTTGAAGAAATCCACACAACTATTCATCAAGATCAAGCCCCAAAGGCCCTTGAAGATTCGTTCATCCCTAGATCAAGCCCCGACGACCCCTTTGGATCAATAGCCCACCCACAAATCTACGCCTTACGAAGATAGAATCAGAGGATCAAATTGTAAAAGAGATTATACCCCAAAATTAATACAAAATATTATCTTGTACACATGTTTACACACTTTTATAAGGAAACAACTTGGTGGATGCCCATTGCCTTTTTCTGCAAAGAAACTTTTTGATTGAACGACCGAACTATACACAATCAATAAAATGAAAGAATTCCTCCCAAAAAAATAAGTTGATGGAATTGAATTTGAGTGGTGCACATGAATGATAAGAAATAAGATCCTTAACTTTCTATTTTAAACATTAATACTGTACTTTTGTTTTGAACATCAACTTTTAGGCTTTGCTTGTTTGATTCAACAATTATTATCTATCAGATTTGAATTCAATTCCATCTTTAAATATAATATAGAAATCGAGTGTCACTAAAACAAAGGGAGCATTTTTGCTCACCACCATAAACTATGTTGTATGCTCACCATACACCTAATCAATTGACACGTGTCATTTCACTTAATCTTGGTTAATTTTTTTCAAAATTGAAAAACTAACATTTAATGTGAAAGTTAACTAGAGTTAAATGAAATAACACGTGTCAATTGATTAGGTGTATGGTGAGCATACACCATAGTTTATGGTGGTGAGCAAAAATGCTAAACATGTTACCAAAAATTTAAGTTTAGATAAGGTTTGATAATTAATTAAATTGTAACTTTTATACACATGAAAGAAATCTCTAAATTATAAACATGTTACCATTTAAATATGGGAATTGTTTTTGGCACTCTAAAATTCTCATTTTACACTCCAAACTTTCTATATTTAGAAAGAAAAATACATTTGTGAGAAATGTAGAATGAGACTTTTGAAGTGCCAATAACACTTCCCTTACATATTAGTAACATCAAATCTCAGTGTTTAAGAAAAGTTTAAAGTATTGTGGACTGTTTGTGAGGGCAAGTAATCTCTATAAACTTTAATGATTTCGCATAGATATCCAGGATTGATCCACGTGTACGGTGGATTTCAGCCGCTTCAGCCTTCACTTGCACTATAAATAGCAGTTGAGACCCTCACAAGAAAACTCATCCCTGGCTTTGGTGAATTCAATTCCCAGCACTACAACAATCTTCTCCTTATCCTTATACCAACTTTTAAAGAAAATGTCTTGCAATTGTAGCTGTGGCAGTGACTGCAAGTGCGGCAGTGGCTGCAAGTAATTCTTCTATTCCCCTAACCAATATATATATATATATGACCATCATTCTTTATAATTCCTAATTATATTCTTAACTATGAACTGATTACTTTGCTTAGTTATTTTTCCTAATAATAATGTTCTCTTTATATATGTATATACGTGTAGGTGTGGCATGTACCCTGACTTGAGCTACTCAGAGACCACTTCCACTGAAACTATCATTGCCGGAGTTGCACCTGTGAAGATGTAAGTTTTTATAAGGCAACTGTTGTTTTAACCTCGGTTAATTAAATATAAAAATATAAGGTAAAAATACTCTTTGAAGATTGCATAATGACTTTTCAGGAGTGCTAATAATCTCTCTCTAATTAAGAAACAAAATTGACCATATTATTATTATTACCATTATGATTGCAGGTTCTCTGAGGGGTCTGAGATGAGCTATGGAGCAGAGAATGACTGCAAGTGTGGCTCAAGCTGCAGCTGCAGCTCATGTGGCTGCCACAAATGATCGAAGCAAGCCAAGATCCAGACTCAAAGAAGAAAGCTGCGGTGGTCTCTATAAATAAGAAGAAGACAGTAAAAGCTTGGTTTTAGAACTTACTGTAAAATAAGATTAGCCATGGGATATGCAAATCCATGAATCTCCTAGCTTGCTAGCTAGCTAGGGTTTTGGGATTTGCTTTGTGTCTTGTGGCAACCTTAATTATTTTTATGTTACATCTTTCTTAATTTATGTGTTTGTTTAGCTCAATTTCTGTGGGTTTTACTTTGATGTGTGTTTGGGTTTGGAAATGAAAATTGTAGTGGACATGAACGATTGAGAGCTCCTTTGAGTTGACTTATTTTTTTTTAAAAAAAATAAATAAACGATATTATTTACACTAAGGTGAAGGGGTGGGCTTAACCTTATAATGGGCTGTCAATAATGTGATTCAAATTTGGCTGTGACGAGAATCAAACATAAAACTTCTTACTTACAAATGAAAAAGAACGACATTAGACTGTAATATTAAGTGGTCCTTTGAATTAGACCTTTGCTCCATTATTTTACAAGTAACAAGCCACTGACTATTTGGGCAGTACTAAATTAGTAATGGTCTTGTTCATATCTTCTGACTTTTTCTGAGGTAACCAGAATTGGAATAATAGGACTGCCATTTGATCTGCAAAACTGTAAGAGCAACTCCACCCATGTGGGTTGCTCGGGGGACAGTGGAGAAGAAGGGGCCGGAGGCCCCGTGGAGAGAGGTCCAGCCGTGTGGAGGCCGAGCGACGGTGGGAGCCCGAGCGAAGGGGGGTGGGGAGTCGACGGGCCTGTGGCCCGAGGGCTTTGCAATTTTTTATTTTTTTTGTGTCAGAGAGAGAGAGAGAGAGGGGGGGTTTTTTATTATTTAAACAAACAAAAAAAAACTATTATTTTAATTGCTTATTGCCAGGGGGAGGGTTCCAAGGGTGGAGATGTAAATGACAATTACTGTTCATTAATGGTAGTTACTATTCATTTAAGGCAGTTACTGTTCAATAGGGTGGATTGAATAGTGGATTGTCAGAGAGGAGGGCTCCATGGGTGGAATTGCTCTAAAAGTTGAAGTGTCCAGTTTGGGGTTTAGAGTTTATTGTAAAATAATAGGACTGCCATTGGATCTGCAAATCCATGATCTTCTCGCTAGAGAGAGAGAGCTAGCTAGGGTTTTCTGATTTGCTTTGTGGCTGCCTTTGTATGTTACAAGTTTTCTTAAATATATGCGTTTGTTGTTCTGCTTAATTTGATGCATTTTTGGGTTGCCATCCGTTCAAAATGCGTTTCTCCTAAGTGGCATAGCAAATCAATGGTGCGACTCAATTGCTACCTTTCTTGGAGATGCTTTAACAAAGTTGCAAACGAACAAAGACTATGGAATTACTTGTGTAGGCCAGCCTAGAGGTAGTCGGAGTAGACGGGCTGCTTAAGGCCTCCCACTCCGGAGGGGCCCTTAATTTATGATGATTATTATTATTATTATTACAAACTGTGTGCGTGTCTAAATAGAAAGTTTAAATACAATAGCCCATTAAAGTTAACGACTGAAGCCAATATTTGTAAGATTTAATTGTTTAATATAATTAATTGAATAAAAAATAAAAACCTATTTTGTACGTAAAAGGTGAATCGCCAAGTCACTCAAACAAGCAACTCAAACGTTTTCTCATTGACCTGAAAAACAAACCTATTTATTTCTTTTGGGCTTCTCATTGGAGGCCAGGCCGCGCTTAAGTAAATGAGCTGGAAATTTTAGCATTTCCAGGCACCTGATGCATTTACTTTCTCAATGAAAGTATGCAAACTCTGTACCTTGTGTGATAATTTCATCGAAAGTATGCACTCTCGTTCAGGCAAATCGTCGAACAGTTTATGTCCCACATTTTTCTGCCCATAATTTCATCTGACTTCAATTATTTTCTCTGCACCCAAACAGAAAATGATTTTCCCGAGACAATCATCGAGTCCAAACAAGCAGAACCCAGTTCGTGCTTATCTTACATGATTGAGAAGCTGCCGATTAAAGAGCCAGTTGGGTCTGCTTTCCAGAGCTGGATGGGTGATGGCTTTCCTATTCACAGAGGTGACGTCTTTCACGCCATCAACCGCCTCAGGAAGCTCGAGCTCAATAAACGCGCTCTTGATCTCTCTCTCTCTCATTCACTTTTCTAAAGAAAAACTAATGAAAAAAATTTGAAAATTTTGAATTTTAACGATAAGAACAAAATAAAAAATAAAGTGAATAGTAACAGATTTAACTTTTTAATGTAAAAATGTGGTTTTTCGTTAAAGTGAATAATACCGTGGGTTTTTCGTTAAAACTCTACTTTTCTAATGGGTAGATTTATTTGGTTGCATATTGTATAAAATGAAACTAATGAAAATGGTTTAAAAACTTTGAATTTTAACGATAATGACAAAATAAAAGGTAAAATGAATAGTATTATGATTAACTTTTTAGTGTAAAAACATGATTTTTCGTTAAAGTGAATAATACCGGAAGCTTTTCGTTAAAGTTCCCTTGTAAATTAGTAGTCTTTTAGTTGTTGAGAAAATGAGTAAATTGTAGTAATTGTCTCTTAATTTTAATTAAATTGGAGTAATGGTCTCTCAACTAAAAAGATATTATCATTGATCTTTCAACTCATCAAAATGTGTAGCTATGATCTTTTTTGTCAACTTCGTTAGAATTTTGTCAAAATGAGTAATGTTAGAATAATCATTGTTAAAATTAGGGTCCATCAACTCATCCAAACGTGTAGTTATGGTTTTTTTCGTTAACTTCGCCATGATTTTGTCAAAATGAGTTATGTTAGAATGATCATTGCTAAAATTGAGGTCCATCAACTCATCCAAACGTGTAGCTATGGTTTTTTTTTTGTCAACTTTGTCAGAATTTTGTCAAAATGAGTTATGTTGGAATGAGTATTGCTACAATTGGGTTAAAATCAAGTAACCATTTCTCCAATTGTGTTAAAGTTGAGGGACCATTTCTCCAGTTGGATTAGAGTTGAGAGACCAACGGTAATGGACTTTTAGTTGAGGGATCATAGTTGCACATTTTGATAAGTTGATGAACCAACAGTAATAGATTTTTAATTGAGGGATCATTGCTCGAATTGAATTAAAGTTAAAAGATCATTGCTATAATTTACTACTAAGAAAATTGATAAAAAGAAGAAAGTGAAATTTTTTGACTAAATTTTGAGCATTGTGTATGTTTAACTAGAAAATGTGCTCGCACTTCGCTACGGGGGTTGAAAGCATCTGTTGTGAGAATGAATAATTCCCACAGAAAATGGGCAAAATGGTGGTAGGAACATAATCACATTCTCAAATGTAGCAATTCAGATAACATATATTTGAGCTGAGTGAATCCAACAAAGTCACCAATCAACATATGCATCGTATCAGTAATTGAAAATTGAAAATTTATCTATTTTTTCAAATATTCAATAAATTAAACCACACAAAATTTAAAAATATATGACGCAACCCTACCCCGACAACAATTGATTTCTTCACTGTAGAGAGGTTGATTGTCACATCCCAGCCCGGGAGGGACCAATTCCCAGGCTCGACTCCGCCGTAGCACGATATTGTCCGCTTTGGGCCCCGACCACGCCCTCATGGTTTTGTTTCTGGGAACTCACATAAGAACTTCCCAGTGTGTCACCCATCCTGTGAATGCTCTAGCCCATTTCTCGCTTAACTTCAGAGTTCCTACGGAATCTGAAGCCAATGAACTCCCAAAAAGCCTTGTGCAAGGTAGAGATGGGAATATATATATAAGGCTTACAGGATCCACTCCCCTAGGCGATGTGGGATGTTATAATCCACCCCCTTAGGGGCCCGACGTCCTCGTCGGCACACATCCCGCCAGGGTTGGCTCTGATATCAAATTGTCACATCCCAGACTGGGCGGGACCACTTCCCAGGCTTGACTCCGCCGTAGCACGATATTGTCTGTTTTGGGCCCTGACCACGCCATCACGGTTTTGTTTCTGGGAACTCACACGAGAACTTCCCAGTGGGTCACCCATCCTGGGAATGCTCTAGCACATTTCTCGCTTAACTTCGGAGTTCCTACGGAATCCGAACATATAAGGCTTACAGGATCCACTCCCCTGAACAATGTGAGATGTTACATTGATCACCAGAAGCAGGGTCAATAATGGCCAGCCTCTAATGAGCAAAGAAACAATCTCCATGCTGGCATAGGCCACTCCAATCCGGTCCGCAGGGCTTCAATCTATGAAATCCATGCATGCAGATTGATTACCTGATTGGCATTGAAAATGAAACAAAAATACACCCCCCCCCCCAAAAAAAACAGAAATTTAGAGTAGGATGGATCGCCTACCTTTAGTAAAGCGGAGGAACGTTGGTGGTGCGGATGGACTGGTGGTCCAGCACGATTCGTTGGATTTGAGAGCGAGAAAAGGCTCTCCACTGCATTTTCCCTGCATTCAATCATCAAATTGTAGTTCATTTCAATTGATTTATGCTGAAATTTTAAAAAATTAATACAGACAGTTTGACTTGAATGGCTTCAGCTGGTGGGTGAATCAAGGGGATAAAGACACGGCAATTTTCAGCTTCATACCAGAGGATAGACAAAGCACGACAGCATGTTGCGAACTAATTGTTCAATCGAACTGAAAGGAAAGGAAAGGGTGCCCGTGCTCCACTGCGGGTTTTCAAACCATAAGCATGATGAGCTATAAATCATTTCCACAAAAAAAGATACAATCTGGATAACAGTACCTGACAATGAATTGATTCTCAAAAAATCCCACAAAACCACATTCACAAATACATATTTCACTGCAAGAAAAAGACCGCACTACTCTGCAAGTGGTTGATTGGCCCGGTGGGGAGGGTATTTCTCTTAAGCCCCACTGCATCTGAGTTCAAAGTTCTAACCATCCCCCGTCTCCTTGGTGTAGTTTACAGTATAAATAACACGTTTTAATGACTAAAAACATCAATTCTGATCATCCCTGCCAGTTTAAGCACACTAAAGGCCAAATTTAACATGTTCTGCCTTCGGCCACCCAACCCAGCAGATTCTTATACAAAATCCGAGATTAAGTTCCAAACGGAAACGTTACCTGTGTTAGCTTTTTCCATAGCTGGATGTCCAACGACACGCATCATGATAATTCCCCCACCAATATCAACCAAAGGTAATTTACACTGACCCACTGTCTTCTTGTTATCCAAAATCTTGCCAAAACTCATCAGTTTCATTTCATTCGCCGTCTTCGGCATCATAGTCTTGCCTACCAAACAATCAAAAGGGCAATCCAAGAAAGTCAAAACAAAGCTGCAAACACAGTGAAAATCATATGAAAAAAGAGCCAAATTCCAAATTTGTGACTGAATCCACAACTTCTAGCAAAATTCTGATTTCCCAAATCAAAATTATGTTGGGATTTCATCTAATTATTAATAAATCTAGCTCAAGATTCAATTTAACAGATTCTACAAAATTTGCTAAAATTCCGATTGCCAAGAACTCAAATGACATAAACACCAAAATCAACACAACAACAACAACAACAAAGCCTTTTCCCACTAAGTGGGGTCGGCTATATGAATCCTAGAACGCCATTGCGCTCGGTTTTGTGTCATGTCCTCTGTTAGATCCAAGTACTCTAAGTCTTTTCTTAGAGTCTCTTCCAAAGTTGTCCTAGGTCTTCCTCTACCCCTTCGGCCCTGAACCTCTGTCCCGTAGTCACATCTTCGAACCGGAGCGTCAGTCGGCCTTCTTTGCACATGTTCAAAATCACCGGAGCCGATTTTCTCTCATATTTCCTACAATTTCGGCTACTCCTACTTTACCTCGGATATCCTCATTCCCAATCTTATCCTTTCTCGTGTGCCCACACATCCCACGAAGCATCCTCATCTCCGCTACACCCATTTTGTGTACGTGTTGATGCTTCACCACCCAACATTTTGTGCCATACAACATCGCTAGCCTTATTGCCGTCCTATAAAATTTTCCCTTGAGCTTCAGTGGCCTACGACGGTCACACAACACGCCGGATGCACTCTTTCCATCCAGCTCGTATTCTATGGTTGAGATCTCCATCTAATTCTCCGTTCTCTTGCAAGATAGATCCTAGGTAGCGAAAACGATCGCTTTTTGTGATCTTCGCTAGATTGCTCCGGTCATTAGTGTGGATAAGTATATAAATGGATAGAGATAGGAAAGCAAACACAAGATGTACGTGGTTCACCCAGATTGGCTACGTCCACGGAATAGAAGAGTTCTCATTAATTGTGAAGGGTTTACACAAGTACATAGGTTCAAGCTCTCATTTAGTGAGTACAAGTGAATGATTTAGTACATGGAAATTAAGATGTAAGAACGGGACTTGCCAATGGAATGTACATCCCTTGTAGACCGAAAGAAGATAAACTCTTTCACCAATTAAAGAGGACAAACTTTTTCTAACTTTGAATGTTTAGGCTACTCCTGCATCCCTTTAGTGTAAATAATATCGTTTGTTTAAAAAAAAAATAAATAAAATAAAAAAACAATCCCAACTTTGTTGTTGACAATATACCTCCATCGTGTACTGAAAGATTCTATCACCAAGGAGAACAAGCTTTTCCTAATGCTTAGGCTTGGGTATGTCTGAGCATCTGTGCAACCCATATATGCATACATACATATATATATACAGGAACACATGTTAACATATATATATATATATATATATATATATATTATCAGTAATTTTGGCTCTTTTGTCCAATTATTTACATTAACCATATCTAAATGAAGAAGGAAAACACCATGATCTTTGTTGCTCCCTTCTTGTGATCCAAATTTGAAGAAGGCTGATGGGGAGGGCAGTTATAAGTGTCATCCTCTTTGTTTCTTCTATACCTACATTGTCGGCCAAAACAACATCAAACCAAATGCAATACAATCCAATGTAATGCTCACAAAATTTGAGCTCCAAACAAAGTCACAGGTCAACAATCACCTAATCGCTCATAACACTATCATACAAACACAGATTGCAATTCAAATATGCCATATTATTTACAAACAATTACAAATCGAGAAATAATTAAATCATCATCATGAATCGCAGTGGAACATGAACACCATCAATTCGAAAAAACAGAGCTACATGGCAATAAACATATAGAGAGTAAACATACAAAGAGGAACTGCTTCAGATCCTTCACAAAAGCAATCTTCCGCATGATAAAAAAAGAGCGGTTGGTCTATGGTCTAATTGCAGACACAATCTGCAGAACCGACTTTTATGGAATTTGAACTTGTGAAATGTGGGGTGGAGACCTGAATGTAACAAATTGGTGTTTTAAGTGAATAATTCCAAACATATAAAATTTAGATCATCACACCCGAACACAAACAAAACAATTAAATAATGAATCGAAGGCATACCCAATCTAATTAGACAAATAAGTGAACTTGCCCATGCCGAAATCCAAAAGGCCAACGGAAATCTCTCATTACATCACAGAAGACAAAACTAAAAACTAATCAAAATTAGGTGAACCAATTATAGAGAAAATAACCCTTGTAACCAATCGGGAAAAGATGCTTTTAAATCCCAGAAAAAAAAATTAAGAGGAGTTTAAAAAAAAAACATCATTTCAATTATTTTCCAGTCTTACATTTGGGATTAAACAGAGAATATAACTAAAAATGCCAACTTTCTCAATAAAAACTACGACTATTTTTACAAATTTCCATTACCCAACACTGAAAAATGAGAATCACGAAGCAACGAATAACGGAACAAGCGAGAACCAAAACGTTAAAAATAGCACGTACCATTTCAAAGACCAAAAATTCTGCAAGGACAAAAAAATCCCAGAAAATCAGTACATCAGCACTCCCTGCAAAACCCCAAAATCAGAAAATTATAAAAAGAACCCAAAATCAGTGGCATGGTCCTCGTTTCTTCATCATTCAGTAGCTAATAACCTAATGAAAAAGAACCCAAAACAGACAGCTTAAATTATGGAAAGTGTTTATAAAGCTCATGAATAACTTTCAGAGCCTAAATCTGATATGTTGCATTCCACACACACACAGATATGTCTACATATATATATAGATGACCCACAGAGATTAACATCTTGCGGAGATGTGCACGCGCACTCACACAAAATATACATGCATACTTAATTTTTCAGACAATAATACCTCACAACATAAGTTGCAAGCTGGGACTATTTGGTTGACTCAAAAGAAATTGATGGGTTAGAAAAAGCCCAAAAAAATACAAAGACCATCAATGCACAAGGACTTGAGTGCATAAAGGAGCACATCCGATAACAAGCGCAGGTCCCCACAACTGACCTTCTTGTGCACATTGTAAAGCCTCTTTCTTTCTACCAGAAACCAGAAGATTTTGTACCTCAGAAGCAGTTGCCTAGGACACAACCACACCTATTAAAAATGAAAAATTTGATAATGTAGAGAGAAGGGGAGAGAGTTATCAGAGTAACTTATTCCATACTCGCAACTGTCCTTCTGAAGGCGTTTTCTGCACACAGTAGCTAACAGAGCCATAATCACTGAATTGCACATTATTGCTTGCAAGCTGGGATTTCCTACTTTAGACTAAAGTAATGGTTTCTCAACTGCGGGGAGAAGATTCGAACTTGAGTGCATAAAGGAGCACATCCGCTCTCGCCAATGCACAAGGACCATCAATCGTACTACCCTTAAAATTTTGAGCCGATCTGATGTGGGGGGATGGATTTTAAAGCTAAAGCTTTTGCTTTTGACAGGTAATGGAATGGGTGATCAGAGAATGGCCCTACAGGCCAAAGGAACTAGACTACTCTTATCTGCTGGAATTCACAACCAAGTTTCATGGGATATCTCAAGGTAAGGAACTCTTCACCCGCGTTCCTTCGGAGCTTCAAAACGAGCTCCTTTACAACAATCTCGTTTTGCCTGCCTGGACAAGGGTGCAATAAGGCTTCCGCTCGAGTACATGAAGAAAATGAGGGAGTTGGGTCGTCCCATCTCGCACTTGGTAGAATGCCTATGCATCAATGGCTACTGCCTATGCAGTGGCAAGGTTGTATGCTGCCGCTGAAGCATATGTTGAAGCCTTGGAGAAGTCAGTTAGGGGTAATAACTGGTCAACATTAGATGTTTTGATTATGTTGTATGGGTTTTTTGGGAAGGAGAAGCAGTTAGAGAAAACTTGGGGCTTAGTGAAAGAACTCCCCCTGTTAGGTCTAAAAGTAGCGTGCTGGCAGTTGAAGCGTTTGGTAGAATCGGACAACTCAACCGAGCTGAAGAACTTTGGTTAGAGATGAAGTCAGTAAAGGGGCTGAAAACCACTGAGCAGTTCAATTCTATGATATCTGTCTATTCCAAGCATTGCCTTATTGATAAAGCATCCAAGGTTTTCCGGGAGATAAAGACGGTTGGCTGCCAACCAAATGCCATAACTTTCCGGCATCTTGCTTTGGGTTGCTTAAAAGCAGGACTGGTAGAGGAAGCCATTAAGACTCTAGAGTTGGGGATGAGTTCGATGATGAGCAACGTGGTGAGGAATTCTACCCCATGGTTGGAGACCACTCCTTCGATAATCTCGGGTTTTGCCGAGAAGGGTGATGTAGGGAATGCTGAGAAGTTGTTTGATGAACTTGCAATAGCCAAGTATTCAAGACATACTTTCGTATACAACACTTTGATTAAGGCTTATGTGAAAGCCAAAGTTTATGATTCAAACCCTTTGAAGAGGATGATTCTCGGAGGAGCCAGGCCGGACGCAGAAACCTGTAGTCTGATGAAACTTGCCGAGCAGTTTCAAGCCTGATTCCGATTTGTAACATAGTTGTAACTTGTAAGGTGTTCTGATGCATTTATATTCATTCTTACAACAAATGTTTATCAATTTTGTAAATGGAAAATAATAAGATGAACATGGCATCGGTTACTCGTTGAATTTGATGATCTTGAAGTTTGAATGCTTTTCTGGTCGTTATGCACAGATAATTTCAACTTTTTCTTCGGCGAGTACAACATATTGATCAAGAATGATAAAACTAGAAGATTCATAATCCATTGTATCAAAACCTTCAGTAGTTTACACGAAGAACCCTTGAACATTCTTTATACAATGCTTACTTATTCATGAGGAAGATGACACAAGAACCCTTGAACGTTCTTCGGGATCTACAGAGAGATCGGGTAGAATATGACGTCCATGTTCAGGTGAGATAGTTAATGAATTCTGCAGCAGTTGCAATGGCACCTCCTGTAATTGCATCCACCAGAACTTTATCCGTGTTCTTGTGGCTGGCTGCAGATACTAGAGCCCCTGTCAATGCACCCCCGAGCATGGCATTCTTCTGCAGGATATCAAAAGAAAAAGAGTGAGCAGATGCAGAAGTTCCAGTTGAAGTCCGAAATTAAATATAAAAAAATACTTGGAATGGCATGCTTGAAGCTTTGTGACAAACTGACAATTAACAGAGTCGAGTAGGAAACAAGAACTCTTTTATAGTTCCAATGTCATGTCTCAAAGTCTCAACGATTCGAACTTAGTCCTGGGATAAATAAGTCGTTGAATACCTAAATTGGAATGCATTTGGTTCGGCCTGAGCTCCTTTCACAAGAAAAATACTAAGCACAATATCCTAAAGGTAACTTTAGAAGCTACCTGCGCATACTGAAAACGAACAATTACCCAAATTATGGAAACAGGAGGGTCTAGGGAACATAGAGGTTAAGAGTTTTTAGTTGGCAAGTAGAAAATCTCTAACAATTTCCCAAATCTAGGAGCCACATGTTCAAACTAAGATGAATGAGCATGAAAACTTATGCCCAACAGGTACCGGGAACATAGATGTTCGAATTTTTCAACCGAAAACCACATTACTTAGCCCTTTCCTAAACAGCTCATAGGGTACAACTACCTTCTAGAGACAAGAATTAGAACAAACATACCCAGTCTCTATGTCCACGGACCCTCTCAATACCATACTCTGCTCCCACGTACACACCAGCTATGGTTCCTGTCAGTGTAACAGAAGAAATTGTTACTGCAGGCCTCCATTTTCAAAAGTAGGGAAGCCAAAGCAATTTTCCCGGAAGATGAGCATAATTCATCCATACATACATCTAACTCACAATGAAATACGACTGAACTTACCCCAATATGCACCTTCTTTACACATCTTCTTCAACTGCAAAAACCGTACTCTCAATTAGCAGGATTAGGACATTGTGTTATATCCTAGCTTTCTTCTATGAATATACAACTGATCGCCTCTTAAACAAATCGATAGATCCCACTAAACAAAATCAATTGAGCAACAACTGAAGATGCTGAACTAACTGAAAGTAGCTACTAATATTTTTTCCGGTTACAAGGGGCCCAAAGTCCGAGCACAACCATACAAAACAAAGTTAACTAGACCTCAGCGCTTATATAAACAGCGCTCATCCTATCGAAACCAGCAAGATCATCAAGCACAACACTTACAATCGAAGGGGGATGAGTTTCAAAACAGGAAATTTTCAAGCTCAACGTCGATTAAGAGTAGCTACTAATCCTAGATCATACAAGGAACCAACAAAATCGAAAACGGGACTTAATTAAACAAGGGATTGGTCTGGTTACTCACAGTGTGCTCAAAATCGTGACTTGAAATTCTCCCTGCAAAAATCACCAAGAACCAAAATTCTCATTCAACAACCGCAATAAATACAATCATCACCATCAGAGTAGAGAGTACAGCACAATATGATGAGCATATGAAAGTTAAAACTTTCCCACTCGCATTTTCTCAGCGTTTCTCGGGAACCAAACAGTCGGACTGCAATAATGATCGATAGCGGTACCTTTCTTGGCCGCCGAGAAAGCATCCTCTGCAACAACTCTGGTAGCAGCGACCTGAAACCAAACCAACCAAAACGACCACGTTGGATTCCAAAGCTTCCATCCCAAAGATCAAACAAAACCCAGAACTAAAAATAAAAAATAAACAAAAAATGTTGAAGATAAAAAAATAAAAATAAAAAAAGATCGAAAAAAAAAAAGGAGTGTACGGTTCCGATCTTCAAGAAGCCATCGACAGTGTGGTTGAAGAAGGGGTTGCCCAAGTCGATCATGACGTCGACCTTCGGCCCTGTTAGCGACCCTGCGAAACTGGTTCTCGGCATTTTCTTCTCCTCTCTAATCTCTGCTCTGTGTTGGTTGTGTGACGAACAAAATGGTGTCAAATCACAAATTGGTGGGGTTTTGTATGATATTGTAATATTTTACTTTACAGAGATGGGGTGGATTTACGAAAAGGCCATGGCAGGATGTAACGCAACATCAATTGCATCAGGCGGTGCCCGTGGATCAGGTGCAATGGTGTGCATGTGAACGTGCCAACGCTAAAAATGGTATTTGCTTTTATTGCAAGTGAGATTTTTCATTTTTTTCAACGATTTTTGCTTCGATTTTTCATGCAAAATGTAGGTTTTGGTGAATTGTAGAGATGCTCTAAATAACGAACCATGTATTGAAGAAATTTTTCATTCTGATGGGAACACAAGTGGTAGGTACACCACGTGTTTTAATAGGAGTGATGAAAATTTTTATTTTTGAAGTCATTAACTTTTTAGCATACATATCTCATTATTTGTATATTAACACGTGGTGTATCACCTTGTGTACCAGTCACACTGAAAAATCTCTCTAATTTGTATTTGCCAAGACAAATGAATCAAAACATGTATTGGGTCCCGTTAGTCTGACACTGTATTAAATGGTTTACTAAATCAGTCCAGTTTGGTCTATTTTAAGTTAGTGTAATTTAGTTATTGAAGCTAGTCTAATCCGAGATAGTCAGGTGCAACCTACACACCATTAAGGACATGTTAGAATATTATGGATCCCTAGTTTAAATTAGACAAAACTTAACAAGATGTTTACTTACAAAGAAATAGAAGGAATATGAGTATCATTCATAATCACGTGTTATCTAACAACCAAAGAATAGGCGGGTCTTGTGTATTTTGGTATCGTTTGGTATGCAGACGGGACGGGACGGAACGGAACAGGACGGGACAGGATGGGACAGGACGGGACGGAACAGAGAGGGAGCAAAGATGTCATCGGATGGAAACAAGGAGGAAGAAGAAGGAGACGGAGAGGTTATAATTTTGTGTTCCACAGATGTGGAACGAGGAGTTCCTGGGGGTGAGGTGGAACAAAAATTCATCCAAATTTTAGGCGCACCAAACGTGGGACGGAACGCCTAGTCCCACTCCGTTCCGTCCCGTCCTACGTACCAAACGGTACCTTTGGGTACGACATATACCAGGAAAATTAAGGTATCTCATTAATATAGCGAGGTTGTTTATCTCATACTCATTCTTTCTAATCACTCATTTCCTTTCATACCTATGTTTTTAAGCGGTGAAGAGAGAGAGAATGATTGAGCTTACGTGCAACCGGTTCTACAATTTGTGTAGGCTATATAGTGACAAAAGAATGATTTATATTGAACGAGTTCATTGTCATTAAGGTGTCTCATTTCAATAAAACAAATAACATATGTAAAGTTTTCAACACTTATTGTATTATTGGATTGGGACACTACAAGGCAATAAACCGATTTTATGTAAGTTTTCAACAATAACATATGTAAATTAAGGTATCTCATTAACGTAACGTTTAAAAAAATGTGACTATATGTATAATCGGTCCCACTATATTTTAAAGTAAAAACCAAGAATCCAACGGGTCTCACCAAAAGACGATTTTTTGCTTTATTAAAGTTGTTTTCCAAGCCGGACCGGCCCCATTTTCCGGTTCAATGCCCCCATTTTTTCTTTTCACAAATAGATAAATACATAGGATATACAAAATATCCACATTAATCACTGATCAGGATCCTCTCCTAAGCAAATGGAGAGGATCCTCCTGACTAAATTCATCGGGCCGTTTAAATTTTATCAAACGGCTACAAATAAGATGTCTTTTTAAAAATTATAATAATTGTAATCGTTGGATAAAATTTGAATAGCTCGATGAGCCTGGTCAGGAGGACCCTCTCTATTTGCTCGGGATAGGATCCTGATCCATTAATCACAACAAAAATTGTAAGGCACCCAATTTAGCGTCCTCAAAATCCAACGGCTAAGAAGACAAAGTAGCTAAACGGTGCCGTTACACGATTCTGGTATTCTTCTTGACGGAGTCTAGGGTTTTACCTCACTATAAAGACAGAGATCTGTTGCCCTGTTCCATAAACCCTAACCTCACTTCGTCATTTTTCCAGAGTGAGTGAGGCAGTTAAGCTGAAATCGGAGAAATTCGATACAATCCGGGATGGATAAGAGCATGATAGGAGATCTGGATTCGCTTCCAGAGGAAGATAAGATGAGAATGGCCACCATGATCGACCAGCTCCAGATCCGCGACAGGTCATCTCTCTCTATAATTCATTGCCTTAATTTCCACTTCAATCGTAAAATTTCTCATCTGATTGTTAAATTCTGTGAATTTCAGCTTAAGAATATGATGAAAAATTCGAAATTTGGTTCATAGTAGTAAAAAAATAGTCATCGAAGTCTGCAAATTTTTCCAATTTATGAGGTGAGAGTTTGTGGGTTTGCGATAGAATTATTGGTAGTGCATGTTTGATGTCTTGGATTTGGTTGGCTTTTGTTTTTGCATTTCTAATATATTGGCTGGTGGGTCAGTTGGTAATTCTTTGGCATGCTTCAATCTGTGCTCTGTAACGCAATGCCTTGTATTTTCGGTTGCGATTGGATTCCTACCGAAATGTTTGTTTTCTAGGCCACGTTTAGTGTCCG